TTTGGTTTTGCTAATTAGCAAGTAGGGAATAAAAGGAGGACAAAGATATGGACAAAGCAAGTGACTATCAGTGGATTTTTTTCTCCATTATTTGCCCAGTTCTACTCATTACTTTCCTGCCAAAGCCACTGGGGTTACTGGGGCCACAATTTTAGTATTTGGGAGCATGGAAAGACTGCAAAGAAATGGAAGAGAATACTCAAACAGAAAGGTTGCTGTCAAATGGTGGGTGTCCTAGTCTGTGGCTTTATTACTGCCTCAGACACTGGCTCCTTGTGTTAGGAGGGGCATATCACTGACAACAGATTGTCTGGCTGCAAGAATAAGATAGCACTAGCAGTTACTTATTTCAGGATTGTATTTTGCAGCTTGAACAGTGTTTGAAAAATGCTTTGAGCTCTTCTGCAGCTGGATAAACGTATCCAAATTAGTATATATATTCTTTTTAGAATGAGCACATCAACAGACAGTAGTAATCTACTTTCCATGCTCCCCAGATCAGCCTTTAAGTCACCCCCTTCGGTTATTATCACACAAAGCTGATTGGCACGCACCATTGCCATTATTTTTCTAAATGCTGAAGAGAGCTTTGCTTCCATAACCCAGGAGGTTTCAGAGGTTTACATAAGACTAGAATTGACCTTGGTTATCCAGCAGGGTGAAATAACCCTACACTGCACCTTGACCACTGCAAGAGAGGGATATTTCAAGCACATCCTACCCACCCACACCCACTGGCATAACCTAACCCACAAAATGCAGTAGTGACGTTGTTCTGGGATGTCCCTGGCACTTACTATTGAGACTTCTGTCTTTAACATGCTTAAGAGAGGCTGCAAGGGACACCTCTAGAGCAGGATATGGTCTAGTAAAAATGACTCCATTCATCGGTGATTAAAGTCAAACGTGGAATTATGTTTCGCTGCTTTACATTTGGTAGACCCCAGTTTTGAAGGGGAGTGAATTCTCTCTGTGGAAATCTCCACAAGTCCATTGTGCACGTATAAGGCTCTTGGTTTTGAGGACAGTGTGCCTGAGTGAACACAGGGTAGATCTGAGAGAATCACCAGCATCATCTCTCTGACAGACAACCCCTGGGAAATTCCCCAGGCCAAAAAATGTCAACTGCATATCTTAGGAACAACCTGCTCCATATTATCCAGCTTTCCCACCACCACTCCACCCCAAGCTGAACAGTGATTTGGCTAAGCAACCGAGGTAACGCTGACAGCAAGGTTCTTCTGGAGTTGTGTGCTGTGGCAGATAAAGCAGCCCCAAGGCTGCCGTTCCCCAGAATTTCGCCCTGAGTTCCAAGCTGGAATGACTGGAGTTTCCCAGACCACCCATGGGTCCTGTGGAGGGAAGGGTTGATTTGACACTTAATTTTTTCTAAACCTGCCTGAGAAATCTATTCAGCCAGGTTGGAACTGGCTTGCTGGCAAAGGGCCTGAGCTGGCTCTTGAATTCTTGAATTGTTGTAGTGTCCCCGGGGCTGAAGCAGTATGGCCATGTGAGCCAAGCTGGGGTGTGTAAAGCAGTGGGGTCTGCTCCATGCCAGAGGGGCTAGATTGCAGCCCCATGGCAAATCCCTGGACCGTGGAGATGGGGAGATTTGGCTTGTGTTTCTCACTCTACTCCAAGCTTAGTTCAGCCCACAAAGCTCAATTACTCAGCCTTTATGCACCATGAGGTGGGAGCGGGTGAGTAATTCTTTGTTCATAATTTTTTAGCCATGTGTATGTTCCTGATAACAGACCACTAGAGACTAGAAGATAAGTTTTCTCTTGGCTTCTGTCTGTATTTCCTCAATTATCCTGCTGTATCTTGTGTTTCCCATGTAGGCTATAACAGCCTGTAATCCCCAGGTTAGGACGGGTGGGGGATGTTTCAGCGGCAAATGTTTTCCTTAGAATCAGATGATATTTAAACAATTCTCACTGCTAACAAAGCCATGTAACTTCAGTCGTGGATATGCAGGACATGCCTAGTAATATGATTTCTTATGAGTTATTTGTATTCCCGGTTTTAGTAGTTCCAGGCATATTTTTGAAGTAAAATTTTGACAGGATTTTAGAAAAATCCAAGAGTCAATTAGATAAACCTTGAAAATGGACTGCCCATCCCACTAAATATATTTTCATGCATCATTCTGACATGGCAGCAATGTTGATTTTAATCAGGTTTATTTAAAAATCACAATTATGAGGGAGCTTTGCTATTTATAATCATATTCTGACAGGGAAAAATGACAAGTATTATCACTGTCCATGTTATCTTTGTATAATCATGAGCCTTTGAATTGTGCAGAGCAGTCAGCAAAGTGTTCCATTTTCTCATTTTGCTCTGTGTTTTATAATCATTAGCTATTCATCACTGATGCTGTTATAAGTAGTGGCAAGCTCCTCAGTTGGTGTTGTGCATGCCTTTCAAATGTAACCCAGGGAAAAACATATTAACTGAAAACAAGTGACATGCAAACAGAAGTGAATAGCTATTTTCGTATGAATAGCTATTTTTGTGTGGCAGCATCACACTAATGTTCAAGAAAAATTGAGAGAACAATAAAAATTATAGATGTTATTATTCAACACCCTACTGTAGTATTCCATTTTTACTTATTCTGGGAAAAAAAAAAGAAAAAAAAGAAAGAAATCCTTCTTTTTAAGAATTTTTTGTTGTTGTTTTTTACACATCAATAATATTTCCCATTGTGTGAAAATCCTAGGGTAAATATATCATTCAGTTTTGGGTAATTTCATTCCATGTTATCAGAATGTTAATAAAAATTTCCATTTTATATAGGGCATCCTAGATATTTCAATCAACTGTCAACTGGATTGGACATGGTTGGATTAGCTGCAGACTGGCTAACGTCAGCTGCAAATACTAACATGTAAGTAGCTGAATTTGACAATATTGTTATCTAGAATATTTTTTTAAATTACATTTTGCAGTACTTGTTGTAGAGGTATGAAAAATGCAAGGTTTTGATGCTAAACTAGGAGAAAAAGTATTTGTCTGCCTTTTAAGGTTTTAGTAGAACCTTCATGTTATTTGTATGAAGATTTTAAAGCTGGCTTTTATGTTGTCTCCCATAAACATTCATCACAGATAAAATTACACCTGTGCCAAAACCCCATGAAATGCAGGAAAATATTATTTTTTATTTTGCATAATGATATAGTAGAAATATACATATTATGAGATAGAAATCCAAGCAGATGCTGCAATGTAAATGGTTTGAAGAACTCAGCCATGAATTCCTCATTCACAAAAGCTAGTAACATTAATTTCTTTCTTGAACTTCAAACTTACTGCAAAATGTCATTCTCTGCTAAGTATAATATACAGAATATTATGGCTGGGATGTACTGCACACTATGTGTTTAAAGCAGGAAACAGTTGTGTATGATGTACTGTAGACTATGTGTTTAAAGCAGGAAACAGTTGTGTAATTATTTAAAGTAGTAAATTAATGTTTTAGAATAAAACATTAAATATGGACATTACTACGTTTCAGGTTCACCTATGAAATTGCTCCAGTGTTTGTACTTTTGGAATATGTCACGCTCAGGAAAATGAGAGAAATGATTGGCTGGCCAGGGGGCTGTGGCGATGGGATATTTTCACCTGGTACATGATATTTCAAGCTTTTTCTATGTTTCAGATTATGCTATAAAGTCCCTGTAAAGAGTCAATATAATGAAATCCACACACCCAAGAGGACACTTTACTAACACTAATCAGTGACCTCTGCTTTATTAAAACACTGCATATTCATGGCATTCAGGGACATGATTATTAGGGACTTTAATGTCTATCACTGTTGAATATTCCCTTCAAGCAAATTTCCCTGCCTTATGAACAGTGAAAGTGATTTGTGGAAAAGATAATCAAAAGAGACATTTGCCCTGCAGTTTTACTATTTTATGGATTATATGAAATGAAAGAATACAGTATTAATAATGAAGAAGAGAAATACTCTGATACCTTCCAGCCTTACACTGGGAAGTTAAGTGAGAAGGGAAATACTTACAGGAATACTACAAATACAGAGGCTACTGAAGATCCTGGAAATACTTTCGTATCTGAATAACTTTACTCACATGAGTTTTCCTGTTGAGTTCAATGGGACTGCTCATGTGTGTTGTTACTGCACATTCTTGAAGGAACAGAGACTTAATTCCTTCAAGGTAAATAAATAAAGCAAGAAATGAATGTGATTATCTATAGAGAAATAATTGGCATTGACAAGCACTACTTTCCTGAGATATTTGGTTTTTTTTAATCATGACATTTACTCTTTTCCATTGAACTCTTTGTCACCTCCTATTTTACTTTGAAAATCTATTATTTGAAATTATTTGAAGATGTATCTCCCTTAAATCATAAAAACTATCCAACAAAAGGGCAAAGATTTAGCCTTTTGTATAGCACCTTGGCTTATCAAAACAACAGAATGGTGACTGAGAGGCATCTGTTCCTGAAAGACTAAGCTCCTGACCTAAGAGATGGAGGGATGTTTTGATTATCACCCAAGGAGAAGACTGTACTGATAATCATCACAAGTGTTTCAGAGCCCTCACATGAACTGAGGCTGAAGTTCATCCTTCTGCAAAGGACCAACACAAGGCTTCTGTGTCACTGAGTCCCACATCTGAGATCTTAAGCAGGACCTAAGTGATTCATGGCCTGTGTTGTGGCCCTTTGTACCATGGTGATTTTCAGCCAGAGAGCAAGGGAGGACGGAAGGGAGAGGGGCTGGATACTACTTATTACTAATGAGCATTTAAATAGTACTGTATGAGCCAGATCCCACTCCTATTGAAGTCAGAGAGAGTTTGGATTACATAACTCAGAACAGAATCGGGTTCTTAAATCTTTTTGCTTGTACGTCAGTTCCTGTACCTACTGCTCAGATTTCGTAGTCAATGCACTCATATAGTCTTCACATAAACAGGGGAAAGAAGCGAAGTAGGAAAAGCAGGAAGCTGTACTGTGATCTGAAAGAGT